CTACATAGAGTGGCTGAAGCGCCTTCATCTTTGAAGGAAATTGGAGCCATGTTTTTTGCAGTCAAAGCAGCCCCCTCTGGGACACAAAGTATTCTAGCATTACGTTTGGCGCTGGTTACTGACGGTTACACCGCCACTCATATAGTTTGACTTAAAAAAAACATGGCAGCCATGGCCACAAAGAGGGCTCAGAAACTATCTACCTAGGGACAGTCTCTCTCTTTTTCTTTCTCTCTCTTTCTCTCTCTCTCTCTCTCTCTCTCTCTCTCTCTCTCTCTCTCTCGGCCTTTTCTCAAAGTTTTAGTTTTTAAGACCCAAAACCGCTTTGTTGATGAGCTATTTAACTATATAACTGAGTTGAGCGGGTTGCATTTGACGTGGATACATGGATGCCTTTTTAAAACAAATCCGTCATAATTTTAAAGTCAAAGTGCAATTCATCCATTCTTTCTTTAGAGACCTCATTTATACAGATCGGTTGCGTGTGAGAGCAGCAAAAGGTATGTATACTACTGAAGAAATATATGAGACGATCTTAAAGATAGGAGTTTAATTATTTGATCATTCACCATTTGTTCATAATTCAATCAAAAATATAGAAAAACAGTATAGATTACGGAGCTGAAGAAAATATGCACATGTTGTATGAATAACGACACACGATACACAATTGGAATGGCGTTTATTAGTTAACTTTGGAATACACAGTATTATATAGCAGATGAGCGTAGCACGTTCGTCACCGCGTGTCCGGCGTCCAGCGTCTGTCTGTCGAGCGGCTTGCTGTCAGGCGGTTGCGATAGTTTCTGGCGCGCTCGTAATGTGGCGCCCTTTGCCTATCATACAACAGCACAGATTGTATACGTCACAGTTCCAGTTTTTAAAATAAATAATGTAAATATATGCAATGCTATGTAATGATTTTTATGCAATTCCTTAATGTATTTCTCTATTTCGCAATTCGAACTCGTTAAACTGATGTTTTACAATAATGGTAACAAAATAACGATTTCACGAGTTAAAATTACACAAGAGCATTTAATAAAACAAGAAATGGGACTCGTAGCTGATATCATAGCTAACTGCTATCTCCATTCTCGGCTTTCTGGCACATAATGACATTTCGAGACATCGGATAACCTAACGGCTAATTATTTCTAGTGAGTGGACGCAGCCTCACCGGCCTCTTTCCTCATTTCTCGTCGCACATTTCTCGCCACGCATATCTCCATGTAGTCTGTTGCCAACCTAAAACACGGCATGTGTCGATTTTCTTATAAAACGTCGTGATCATTCTTTGATGGAAGTTTTCTGCTGTGCCCGATAGCGTGCCTTTAAAAGTGCCGCCGGAAATTAGTTCCGGCGCCACTCAAGAGAGGGTGGCGATAGCAGACCGCGGCGCCGTCACGCTCGACCAGGTTCCGGAGCGGGCGGGAGCACCCGTACCTGACAGCTGGCCAACGGACCCGCAGCCCGAGCCGACTATATAAACCGCGCCCGGCGAGCTCAGAGACAGTCAAGCGCCTGCGTACATTGTGAAGCGACAAGTGGATTGTGAACAAGTGCGACGACACAGCTACGGTTACGGACTTTCTCTTGGAACAGTAAATGTCCCAACAGCTGCTTTTTTGGACATCTCCCCGGGAAATTGTGACTTGGACATTCTTCGGTACATCTTCTGGAAAATTGTTTGGATCTGGCTTGAATTTGTCCACCTCTGTACTGATTGTAGTTGGAATAAATCCATTTTTCGAAATTGCTTTCTTTTGGATACTACATTTTCCTCTTCCTATAATGGTTTTAAAATGTTTGTGTTTTATTTAGGTACACTTTCTCGCAGTGAGATGCTCATTTTTCTCTTAAAGTTGAATTTTCACCATGACCGAGTTGTATCTGATAGTTGACTGAAGCACAAGGGACCAGGAGAGACAGAAAGGTTTTTTAGATTCCGTACTGTTCCCGAAAATCAGGAATGTAAAATTACAGCATTCTTGGTACAAAGAGGACGAAAGAAGATTTTTAATTTGAAGCAAGAATTTGAAGTTAGATGGTTATTTGAAGTCAATAGTGGGTTACTATTACCTTCGTAATTCGCCATTCACACGACTAAACACTTTCCTTTAATTCTCAGATATTTCACGTGAAAACAATTGTAGACTTTCCACATTTTTGCAATATTATAAACAACCCACTATAGGACATTGATCTCAATAAATTATTACTTGCTTGCATTACCTGAACGTGTTGTACAAAGACAGCGTCACAATATGTATGAACCACTAAAATTTTGTGGATCTTTAAAACTATTAGTGTAAAAGCTAAGCCGGAAGCAAGAAATGGCAACAGATGTTTGTTAAAACTTGCCAAGCAAAATATAGTGGAAACATTTTGAAATAAATGTTTATATTAAAATTATTGGGGATAACAAGTAATATTTTAAGTACATTACTTGAATATTGAACTTCAACCATCAAAATTTGGATTCACGCCAGGAAACTGCAAACATTTTTTAAGAATGTGATAAAAAATGCAATATTTATTTATATTTTGAAATAACTATATATTTATTAAATTAATATATTGAAAAATTAATAGTTAAATTACATTAAATTCTTATTAACTTAGTGTTGAAAGTTCCTCCACTTCGTGAAAAATTACAAACATTTTGGGGACTGTATTTATGAATATTCTGAATTTTTTCCAAACGATTAATAAAGTTTAATGTGGGTAATTATTCTCTCGATAGTAATAATTAAAATAAATTTTTTTAAAATAAATATTAATTAAAAAATTGACAGTTGACAGTTTTCGGGGGTCACGGGGGACGCTAAAACTCAGGGGCTCAAAATTCGGTTTAACTTTTCATAACCGATGAAAGGACTTGTGGAACAAAATGTTTCATACATTTAATATTATTACAAGGCATCACTTTAGCAGAGTATAGAGATGCATCTTAGCATCACTAAGGTCATGATAATATTTACTTCGAACTGTTTTCAAAAGAAAAGGTAGTGACATGACGTGTGTTGATAAAATAGTGATTTTTTAAATCTCATTTTTCGGCTAAATTCGCAATATGAACCTGAAAAACCCGAAACAAAGCAAATATTATTGTAAATAACAAATGCGTTAAGAGATTCGCACCTCGACAACCGCATAATACAGCCAAAAACTTACGAATTCCACAGTATACGTATTTATACAGGGGTCCGATGCCTCCAGGATTTATAATTTGCATTGTGTAGTATCATTGAACAAGTTGCTGCAACTTCTACTAAGCTACTACTGTTAGTAATAATAATGATAATACAGTAGATCATGGTAAATGCCCTATGACGACGTGTTGGTCAGCGACTCTATCGATTCATGCTGCGATCAACGCCGCCTTACAATTCCTAATATAGCATCGATCTACGAAATCTAACCAAACATTAAATATTTATATATCATTTTAATTTCCTTATGCATATAACTAAAACAACATGTGTATTAGAAGTTTTGAAAATTTTTTAAAGAAAGAAATGATTTAAATCTAATGAGTGTTGTCCATTGAAAGTAAATAGTGGAATCATGAGGAAAAAAGTATTTCCATACTGTTCACGAGAATATCTAGATATGTAATTAATATAAGTAGTAAATAATATATTTAAGAGGTAATAACATTTCTGTTAGGAGATAATAACAAATTTGCGCCTTTCCCTTCTAGGTCTATTGGACAGGTAAAAAGCAACATAACTCAAATTTCTTTCCTCCATTATGGTGCATTTAATTGCAGAACAGTGTGCTCCTTTCGATACAGGCATTGTTATTGCGTCAACTGTAAAAGTATAAGAATTCAGTTAGTGAATATCAAATGTGTTCCGATACATGTCAAATATAATGTTAAAACGTTCGATGTAACTTTACGTGTTATTTAATGACTTACACTTAAAGTCTTAGGAATATAAAAGGACGAGGTCAAGAAATAATACAAATTGTTTTTTAGTTTTTTAATTAGCTACCCGATACTTATTCTCTAACTTGGTATTTAGATTCTTCTGACGTTTGAACAGCTAGAACACAATTATCTAATCAGCTACTTTAATACCAAAAGTTGAGTCGTAACGAAGATCCCGATTGGATAAACGTGTTCCAGCTGATCAAACGTTAGAAGACACTAATTAAATTGGAGTATAGTACTGCAACATAATTATTTCCTAATAAAAATAATTTTAAACAGGTAAAAATTGTAGGTGTTGAAAACAATTTACATTCTTGAACGAAAACATATTTCGGAGATTGTACTATTACATCTAATACAGATGATGTACACGTCTTTAAAAATAAGTAATGCACATTTGTATCACTGTTACACCTGCTATAGGTTAATAATGCTTTATGTCGAATCAAGGAATTTAACGAAGTAAGTTTAAATATCCCGCCAATAATTGAAGAATTATTTGAGATTTAGGGGAATAATGAAAAATATTAAAATTATGTCAAAATATTTACTATGTAGTATTTTAATTATATGAAGTTATTTGGACCTTTCAAAGATCATTAAATACTGTGTTAATGCTGTGAAGAAGTTTCAAATACTCTGGTAGTTTCCTCTCCTCTCTCCTCTCAACCAGTTGGCAACGGCGTTTGCCTGCCAGTCTTTCCGGTATTTGGCGAGGTGTGGGTATGTAGTCGTATTGTTGTATTTTGATATATCGTCGTGAATCTTGAGAATCGGGTAGGCATTGTAAACATCTTTAATAAGAAGTTACGTGAATTTATTGTGAAAAAATTAATTAGTTAAGTTTCTATTGTAATTTTCGAGAACGATATTACGTTTTCGTCTTACGTTACATGTGGCTTAGATGCGATTGTCGCATGTGGAATAGTTCAGAATTAATAATTCACTGGTTATCAAATAGTTTTCTGGGATAAATTCGGAACTCGTGACTTATATACGAAGTAAAATGTTTTGAAATACACTGGTGGAATGGATACATTTTGATATTTTGGTCTTTCAGGGTTGTCTCCCACGGACTCGCCATGGGTGCGTACAAGTATATGCAGGAACTGTACAGAAAGAAACAGAGCGATGTGATTTCTGCTTCGCGTTAGGTGCTGGCAATACCGCCAGTTAACGAAATTACATGTTGCCTAGACCTTCCCGCCCTTGACAAGGCGAGGAGACTGGGCTATAGATGCAAACAAGGTATGAAAAATTTGATTACACGAGTAAAATACGATGTGTAGTTTTAGAGTTTACATCTAAATACATTTACCATAGGTTCAAACCTGCTTAGGAAAACGTGTAAAGTTTGTACTTGTAGTTACTGGTGTATACACGTTCTTCGTTGAAATAAAAATGTTCTTATTCTCATTTTGGAGTCTTAGTGTTGTTGAAATTGTCACCTTCATGTTAGTATTTGATGGCAATGTTGTTGGTGTAATTCATGTTCAAATGTTGCATGCAGTATTGTCTCAATTACCCCTGCATTTGGATTGAACGTAATTTGGATACTTGGTGGGTGTTGGGGAATGAGTCGCATTCTTAAATTTGGAAGCAATATATGTGCATTCTTGGAAGATAAACTTTTTGCCGAGACCAGAGAATTTGTCAGAGAAATCAATTTCTTCTGAGTAAAACAATTTGATGGAAAGGTAGTTTGGCATATGAATGTTTTGGAATTGTTCAGTTTCCAGAATTAACATAGTTTTGGGTTAGTTATTTCTGTTATAAAAAAACATGCAAGACAAACTGCATTGCATTTCTTTCCATGCACTGGCCATGCTAAGTTCTAAGTTGATCTAGACAAGTTGATTAAAAATTAAATTAATTAGGGGATGATTGTGAAATTTTGGTTTCTTTGATTTTTCTGTTCTAAATTTAGTGTGAAGTTTTAATGAGTATGTTTGTGTGGATTATTCTAGAATTTGAGGAAATCTGAGTGCATATGTAAACTTCAGGAAAATGGAAAAGAAAAAAGGAAAATTTACTAGTGTGGTACTAAGTTTTTTACTTAGGAATTTTTTAATGCCATGACTGCATGGATTAATAATCAGTAAAAGATAAGATTTGTTTATTAAGGTTTCTTGAATTTACTTGTGATGATCTTCCACAATGTTGAAAACCATGATTATTTTTCTTCCTTGGATGTCTGACGTGTAATATTTATTTTTGCTCTGTTTAAAAGACCCGATAGTTGTGAAATGTAACTTCCTTCTTTTCTTAAAGGTTATGTGATTTTCCGGATTCGTGTTCGACGAGGTGGTCGTAAACGCCCTGTTCCTAAGGGTGCTACCTATGGCAAACCTAAGAGTCATGGTGTGAACCAACTTAAACCTACACGTAATTTACAGTCTGTAGCTGAGGTAAGTTTCTGTCTTCAAAATACATTCTTTTAAATGAATATTATTGGATTATTCTTAATTAAAATAGATTAAGATCTAAAATACATAAATAAGACATTTGTTGAAAAGTAATACAATTATTACCACTACCTGGAATGAGTTTGTGTTGGTGTGGAAAATACTTAATGAAATATTTGTTTTAATTTGTCCAATTGAGATATTACTGTTAGATCAAGTATTGAGGCTTCTTTTTAAAGTGAGCAAATGAGAGGTCAAGGCTCATTGTGTAATAACTAGCACATTTGCATTTCACCACAGGCTAATTGCAGGCTTCTCGAAATTTGGTGTAGCTTGCCAGTTTCATGACTTCTTTTTTACACAAATTGTCATGTGTTTCAATATGATTTGTTTCCATTGTTATACTATTCTTTTAAGTGATAATATTGCAGTTTTGAAAATCATTCATGAAAAGTATCCCTTACCTCAAACTACATACACTGAACTGAAACTTGAAGCATTAGCAGCTGGCATTTCAGTCCATATCGCTGGCAGAAGAATACATTTCGCAGAGTAATGTGATCTTCACCATTGCTCAATTCTTTTAGACATCTAAAAATAGTCTACTGGCCTAGTGGGCCATAATGTTACTGTAAAAGTTCCAACTGATCTAGAATGACTTTCTTGTGATTTCACATTGTCCACAATCGAAAATTGTGGTTTCTTTATTACTTTCTTAATTCTTATAGAATGGAGTTGGTGAATGATTTATTTTTCTTTACAAAGAAATGCAAACATTGATACTTTTTGTCAATAAATGAAAGTTAGTGCTTCCCGATTTACTTCCTTTTCATCTGATAAATACCTTAATTCTTTATCATGGCGTTTTCACAATTTTTTTAAAACCTGTCATTTCAGGTTTTAAGTTCCTTTGGGGGGTATTATACCTTATGAAACTCGTATGTGATTTATGTACATTAAAATTTTGAAATAAGTTTATGAAGTGTGGTTGGTTGAAATTTTATCTAGTACCTATTGTCTAGACTTAGTGTTGGTAGTTCATTGTGATCGCTGCCATAATAAAAAGGACTTGAATGTTAGAATGAATAATATAAATCTCAAATTTGAAGCAACCTGTAAAATATAATTTTCTTTCTAAAAAATATTTTATTTTTGGTCCATAAGTTTTCTTGTATAAATTGTAACAACAATTTAATTATCCATTCTAAATTTATTAAATGTTAGATTAAGATCTAAACTGATCTATGTTTTTCAATCCAATTAACTTGGTACAGTAGACTTTCACCCAAATGTCATGTATACAATGGTGTGTATATAGCTTGTCATAAATTTTAATGACTATACCCTTCCTTCACCCAATCTAAGTTAGGTGCAGTCAACAGAGCCGAATAATTCTAACTTTGATTATATACATTTTAATATGAAACAAAAGTAAAATGAATACAAATTGTTTTTACTGTGATATAATTTATTTTTATTTCTTGTAATTGAGGGGGACATTGGTAACATGAGGTAATGATTTGGGAGGGAGCAAGCGAGCATTTTGGATGCATTACAGGGGAGAGATGCTCTAAATTTGCGTTACGTAATTTTTGGACAGTCCCAACAACAAAACATTGGTCCTTTTGAGACCTTCAATTGTTGAACAGTGCTCAGATGCATCAAAATGAACTTTTGTGGCTCTGAAAGAACTTCAATATTTTTATGTTCAAACTATTCTTAGTTCAATGTAAAGATATTAACATGATTTTGTAACTCAAACAATGCATAAAAAGATTATTTATCAGAAAAAAAATTAATGGTATTTTAACAGGAAAAGTACTTATGAATTGAACTTCGTCATTTTGTTGCATTGCTAATTGTAACTTTGAGAACTGGTGTAACAGTCTATAACAGATTCTATTGTACTATGATATATATCATAGGTTTTTTTAAAATATATTTGTATATAATCTCCAGAATGACTTTATATGATGACAATCATTTGTTGAATATGATGATTTTTTTTATCTTCCTTGGATGTCTGATGCCACTTCTGTGAAACATCTTTAATGTTTTTGTTTTTCCATTGAATTCATGAAAGTGGTTCTCTTTCAGGAACGTGTTGGCAGGCGTTGTGGAGGCCTGAGAGTTCTCAATTCCTACTGGGTTGCCCAAGATGCTACCTACAAGTACTTCGAGGTTATTCTAATTGATCCTGCTCATAAGGTACTATAACATTTTTTTTCATTGTTGCTAACATAATAGTTGCATTAAAATTTTTAAAAATTAGCATACATTTCATTGGTTGTCATTCCCACATACGAAGCATGGTAATTAAGTGTGATCACTCTCCTGCTTCACATATTCCTGCCATGTGATGGCACTAGTGCAATGTGCAATGGTTCTTATGTAGTTCACCTATGCAGTAAAATTAAATTTGTTATTATTACATCAGTTAAGCCTGTTTTATTTATTTTTGCATCATTTTTCATTGGTTCAAAAAAATGACTAGTCTAGATGTAATTTGTACAGGACGACTCAAGGGTAAATATCTGTTATTAGCCACCTCTCCATCTGACTGGTGTGGATGGTGTGCTAGTTAGTTCTATCCCTGTTCAGATAAAATATGGGAGATATAGAACTATCTGTAACATGTGGCAAGTAGAGATATTTAACCATAAGTCACCTTTCTCCTTCAATCAGAAATTGGTGTTTGACAATGAATTTTGCTGTTTCACATTTAATAGCCCAACCCTATATTGCACATTGAAGATAAGATTTGAATGGAAGGTATCCACACCCTTCAATTAATTTTCACGTTTTAGAGCCTGTAATATTCCTTTTTTTTAAATTAATGGAATACTTCAATGAAGGATGCTAGTATGTATTACAAAAGGAACATGAACTTAAATAAACTCTAGACCTAGATTGCTGGTACAGGTTTGTGCTGAATATCAAGATAGCAATATGAATTGTTTTTTGTGAATAGTAGTATTCTTCAATCAAAATTTCACCTATTTGGTATATTCAGTAGAATGTATATATATATGTTCAAGAGTAATGGTTTCTATCCCAATCATTGTAGGGCATTCGTCGTGATCCCAAGGCCAATTGGATTTGCCAGGCTGTTCATAAACACCGTGAGATGCGTGGCAAGACCTCTGCTGGTAGAAAGTCGAGAGGTCTAGGAAAGGGACACCGATTCAGTCAGACAATTGGTGGTTCAAGAAGAGCATGCTGGAAGCGGCGAAACACACTGCAGCTGCGCAGGAAACGTTAATTATAAAAATTGCAATTTTCTGGACTATGTTTGGTTGAGTGGAAATGCTAATAAATCATATAAACTTTTCCTTGATGTAATTTTTTTTGTAATTGTCCTTGGGTTCCTGTCCTGAACCAGAGTAAAATGATTAAAATTAAATTGTATGAATTTGTGTTAATTTGGCAATTATGGTTATACCCTAAGTTATACTGGCCCATGGCAGGTTTCAGCTGTTGAGTTTCATCTATTTGAGAGATTAAATGTCACCATAGTGATGTCTGATTGGATAAAACTTGTCATGGTACAGTCCACAAATTACCAGCTGACATTAATGTCTTGCATGTCCTTTTAGGAGGAGGCTACAGTAGTTAACTTCCTTCAAAGATAAATTTTTGGGTTCTGAAAATTGTTTGGAGTCCTTTGCAAATAATTTCTCTTGCTTAGTTTTTCAATGAAAGTGTCAATGTATTGCAGTTGAAAAATGTGGGGTTGTCTTATATTCGCAGATTAAACCTAGTCTGAGAGTGTTGAAGTTTAACATAGCCATTACATGTCATGAAACTTGTAAATGTTGGTGTAACAGACTACAAATACCATACTAAATGTTGTATGTATTTACGATAATTATATTCACGGATGGATTCTTAGCATCCACTGTGAATTTGCAGGGTAATTCAGATAATTTTGAATGGACCGGTGAGAAGAGAATTTCAAACAATTTGCATTTTATCAAATGAATCGTAATGTTAAAACGAATGCAAAGATTTTAGTTGGTGACTGATAAGTCTAAGAACACTGCACATTCAATGTCCAAACCTTTGAGAAGCAAATCAGATGGAAGGAGGACCAATTTCTACCTTGATACATGTGAAGGTGAGGGTAGTGACAAAAACCATGGTTATGATTTTACAGAACAAGAAAGTGATAGTTTAGCAATAAGTCTTTATATTGTCGTCAGCAGGGGCAGATTTGATGACTTAAAATATTGCCAAAACAATAAAATGTGTCAAAAATACCCTCAAAACAAAGAACATGGATCAAAACCACTTTAGGTGATCTCAAGCTGTTGGATATGTTACTGATGTAATAAGAGGCTTCTTCCTTTTGCTCAAGTGAACTCTGCTTACAAACATTTGGTTTTGGCTGTTCTTTAAGAGGAATTCTCTGCCTTCATTTATCAAAAATCAGCCGAACTGACAATGACACTGCCAAGGGGTGTCACAAAAACCTTAATTACATAATACAACAGTGGACATTACAATATGAGTGAAGAAATTGAATAGGTTACTCAGGAATTCTATGGTGAACATTCGTTGCATCATGTAAATAGTGTTTGAAGCAAGAACCGTTGAAATCAATGAAATCAGCAAAAAATGCATTAATAAGGACGGAAAAGATGACTAGTAGAATTTGATGAAAAATGCATAATAACGGGTCATTTCGTTTTGTCATAAAATTAATTTCTATGCTAAATGCCATTGTTTTAAAGTGAAAAGGTATAAGATTACATTTCATTAAATGCCACCCCCTCTTATCAGAGGCAATTTTCTAGTCAATATGACAATTTTATTTTGACTGAATAGTAAGAATTAGTTTAAAACTAAATATTCTTAGGAAGAATCTTCAAAGTTCGGGGATTGTCTTACATTCAAAATCTACTTATATTTGGGTAAATGGGGTATTAATGATTTTTTTGTTCAAGTTGAATCATGAAAAACATTAAAGCACTACTACAAACGTGATATAATGAATGAAATTTAAATTGATGAATTTTTCTTCTTTTCTGTCTTCAATTGTTCATATTTTAATCATTAAAATACTGTTTAATGATTGTTGAAATAGAAAATGGTTTGAATTGCAATGCAACTGTATCACCTGCAAATGCTGGCTGTTGTAATGAAAGGAACTAGTGCTCTTAACAGCTTTATGCTTTTTTAACATTAGCATAGGTTTGTGTCTCCCCTTTCCTGAGCAAATTTTAATGATGGTTGATTACGTGATGGCCTTTTACATGATAGAGGGTAGGGAGGGATCATGAAGCATAATTATAGATGAGATGGAGAGGATTTATTAGTTGAAAGAAACACAAAGTACATTTTAAAAAAATTGTATTAGGGTAGGTCTACAACTTGCTTGAATTCACAAGATTGCTTTTAACTTTCACTGAGGTTCACTTATGATACATGGAGATATGAAAAATCCAACACCCACATCATACATAACTAGAATATGTGGCTCCAGAAATGTCGATTCCACTTGTAGCATACTCACCACCTTGTTAGGCACAATCTACTAAATAAAAATGGAATGTTTGTGATAAATAACTGCCTTTTTAATAATCCTATATGCATATTAAATATTTTTTTTTCTTTTTATGATTGCCTCTGGGGGTAATTTGTGGAACATTTATTGTTGTTTTGATTTTTATCACTCACTAGAAGGTGGTGTGTGTGTTCCTGGACATAACTTCAGCTTAAAAATACAAAACCATAAGCAAGGAAGCAAATTAGTTTTTTTCTGAACTTACATATCGTGTGTGTGGTCTTCAAAACAAGAAAAGACAGAAATTAATTCACTGTTTCTGAAAGCCCGTTACAAACTTCCAAGAAAACGTATTTTCAATTATTACAATAACATAATTGGGAGCTCAAAATTAAATTTGCTGAGAGTGTGCAACAATGCATGTTTCTAGCTGCCCACACCAGTTATAGTCCATTGCAGTCTGGGCCTGATCAAATTGTAAAACTGGGTGGACAAAGTAGGAGGTTGAGGGTTAAGTTAAAGGTGGGATAAGGCTGGGCAGGGAAGGAAGAGAATATACCTTACATTGAATCCATTCCTTTTCCTGACTAATGTTTGGTTATGATTACTATTTCTATAAACATCTAGGCAAAGTGTGATACTTCAGCTAGAAGTAGATAAAGATCCTATTAATATTCAAAATTTTGGAATACAGTTTTAGCACTCGAGTCACCTTTAAGTTGCTGTCCAAGAAGAGTTGATTTGGGTTAAAACATGAATAAACAACTGCATTAAAAATATTCAAATTCATTTATTAAAAAATTAAAATTTTAAGTGTGCAACATTGTGATTTCAATTTACAGACGCAAGTTCTTCAGACTTGTCTAACTAGTCCTTATATACACAGCTATAATGTATATCAAGGTGAACAAAATACAGCATGATTTTTAGTCACAAATTTAACAATCTTTTCTTCAATTTCTAGATCAGATTGAATTTCTTCTGGTGTGAGTAATAGTTCTGTAACTGTATTTGATGTTACAACTACAACTTTCTGCTTTCTTGTTTGTAGTATATTAGCAATAACCATCTGGGAAAGGTAGAGAAAGTTCAAATTTCATGTTCAATACAACATAAAAATGTAAATTTCCATACTTACTGACCTTATGATTATATTTCTCCAGTGCCCCTCGAGCTTTACTTATTAATATCGTCTCATCAGTTTCCAATTTGAAGGAAACAACAAATGCTTCAGGCACCCATAAACTCACCAATGGTTTCAGCATTTTGGGGACAAGTTGCAACGAAATTGTTGGTGGTCCAGAATCAGATTGCATTTTGTGAGTGGGCTAAAATGTTACCAGAATTATATTCAGAACTATGGTCTTTTCAAGACATATTTTACATGATTATTTACCATCTGATGAGACGGGATATAAAAATCGGATACAGCTGCTGCAAGATATAGAAGAGCACGAGTCTTGAATGGAGTCAATAGTTCACAAGCAGCACGTAGAAGCCATAAGTAATCAGCAAGAGATGTGAACCCTACACACAGCAATTGCTGAGAGTTTTTCACTGCTTGGTACTGCTGCAAAATCGGTAACACCTCCTCTGTGACATTTGTTTTGACTGCAAAGAAGTGACAATTTTGGCTCAAGTGTGATTTTATTGAAGGTATTATATGTTATGGATAGTGTAATATACCTTGAATTGATGAAGCTCCTTCATTTTTAGTTATTTCTAGTAGATCAAGGAATTTCTGTCCCATGAAATGACGCACAAATGGCTCAAGAGATTTAAACCTACAAATGATCGAAAATTATTAATTTATTAAGTAACATTACACACGGTGCAGGGTTTGTTTGTTTTTTCTTTTTTTTTTTTCTTTTTACCTGTATAAGAATATGACAGCATAATCTTCCTGGAGAAAATATTCTGCAGAAGCAGATCCTCTAGTTCCTGCACTGAAATTGTCCACAAATCTGACCGTGTTGTGTTCCAATGGCACAGTAGTTCCACCTGACTGCAATGCATTATTTAATCAGAAGTGGACAGAACGTAAAGTAATTGATAAAGCGGCGGGTGCTTCATCTGAAGTGCAAGATGTGTAATCATATTAAATGGAATAAAATATTTAAAATGAGTACCGTTATTAAGGCAATTTTCCCCATCTTCGCGAGATGGCGTGCTGTGAACTCTTCCATTCGTGCTTTGTTGTCTCCAAAATCGGCAGGAGCGGCATGGGTGGAATAAAATTCTTCCCAATATATGGACATGCTAATTGATGATAGTAAATATAATTCGGCTTTATGATATTTAGGAAGCAAGCATGAAGTGCAATCTAAAATAGTTTTAATTAACAGGCCATTTCAAGGTATATTACGCGACTATGTGGCTCGGACACCTGAATAGAGCCGATATGATGTAAGAGTGATCTGTGATCATATGTAAATTCGTATTTATCTGCGAGGTTAGGTTTCCTTCTGGGATACCTCTTCAAATGCTGTTGCGAAGCATGTGTGACAAACCGTACAGAATGAAATGAAATTTAAACATTCAAACAACGATTTATGTGAGTTTTTTATATTATAATAAACATAAATTATGTACTGTTTTATTAGCATATTTTTTGAGAATATGTACATTGATTCATTCTATGCAATGCGTAGTGTGCATGTACTACAAAATTTGTTTCGTGTACATTGGCAGATTGAGATGTAGGCGTGGCACGTCTCCAAACACTGTGTGACAGATGAACTAAGAGCTGAAAGCCGAAAGAGCGTCTCTCCTGGTCTCTCCAGCTCCGTGTGGCCTCATTAATCTATATAAGTAGTATAGTGCGTATTTTTTGTTTCCTTGCGCAACGGAACTTTTTAAATAAGGTTTAGCCCCAAGAGCCTGAAGTATGAAATGAAAGAACTTTCCCGTTTGTGGCTGTAAACGAAAGTACTCACTTGGGCCAGTTGTCAAAGACTCGACCTCATAATGCACACGTGTGCGTTATTTTGCATTGAGTTTTTATATTTCAATGATTAAGATCAAATATTTTCATCACTTCAATAATTTTTATCGAAAAATATGAGATATACTAAAGACGAGATTATAGTTTTATTGATAACTTGACCTGTGTGTCAATAGCGGCACTTGTGCTTGAAAAGAAGTGTTCCGATTAATGTCTATTTAAAACCTGAATCCAAAAAGCAGATGATTGCTTATTACTACAGACACTAGAAAGTCCTGAAAAACGTGTTTTCTAGTAATATTTCGATATGCCAATACGAAATCAAGTAAGATTAGTGCTGAATTATATTGTCGTCTATTTATAAATACAGGTTACTGTTGGTCCAGAAGAGTCTTGAAGGTGTGCTCCGAAATAGATTCTATCGCAGTTGCCTGTGAAACGAGAAGTTTCTAGCAACATCAATTCTCGGTCATATCGGGACACATATGACGCAATTTACAGTGCGACCCCGCTGTTTTTGATTCAGTATAAAAGCTCTAGGTTCGAGAGTGGAGAGGCATTGAATTGAGGCAAGTGACAGTGTTAAAATGACGAAATCTGAAGAATCTGTGATCGAAGAACCTGAGCAATGGAAAGAACAAGGAAATATTGCATTTAAAGAAGGAGAATGGGATAAGGCAATTGTGTGTTACAGTAAAGCTATTAAAGCATCTAAAGAAGATAACAGTGATAAGGCAGTGTATTTAAAGAACCGTGCTGCAGCATTTTTGAAAAAACTAGAATATCAAAAAGCGTATGATGACTGTTCTACAGCCCTAGAAATTTCGCCTAATGATCCTAAAGCCCTCTTCCGGAGATGTCAAGCTTTGGACAATTTGGAAAGATATGAAGAAGCTTATCGTGATGCAAGACAAGTTCTTTCTGTTGATCCTACAAACAAGGCCATACAACCTGTGTTGCAGCGACTTCATCAAATTGTTCAGCAGAGATTGACAGAAAATGCTCAGACAAGCAATAAGGTGAAGCAGATGTGCGAAATTGTATTTGATATGGAAGCAGAAAATGAAAAAAGGGAAACGGCCATTAAAAATTTAGTAGTTCTCTCTCGAGAACGTGCAGGGGCAGAAATGATGTTTAATGAAGGAGTAGTGCCTCGAGTAGTCCGCTTGCTCAAGTTTGAAAAGAAAGATGAAATAATTATTAATGCTATTAGAGTTATCAGTGAGCTTTGTTTAAATAATGTTACACGTACCAAGGATATGATTTCAGAAGCAGGTATGCCATGGTTTCTGGAAGTACTGAATAGTCCAAAAGAAGATCAAGTAAATGCAGCTCAATATTGTATCCAAACAATTTTGAATGCTCTGTCAGGAATGGAAAATAAGCCTGACAGTAAACCAGATCCAGAAAAAGTTGCAGAAAATAAAATTTTAATAGATACTTTGTTATCATGTTTGTTATACTCAACAACAAGTCGCATAATATCAGGTCTGGCAAGAAATGCTGTTTTGGAATTAATTACTCGCAATGTTCACTACACTGCCTTAGACTGGGCTGAACGACTAGTAGAAATTAAAGGTTTACAACGTCTTATGGAAGTAGCTAGTGAACTGCAAGAATATAAGTATGAATCTGCAATGGAGGTGACAGATTCAACTCGTACAATTGTATCAGTTTGTTTGGCTCGAATATATGAAAACATGTACTACGACCAGGCTAAGGAAAGATACTTAAATAATGTAAGTGAGTTTGTAAAGGATAAATTATTAACACCGGATATTGAATCTAAAGTTCGTGTGGTCGTTGCTATGACTACACTTTTGCTTGGCCCACTGGATATTGGTAATACTGTGCTTGCCAAAGAGGGAATCATGGAAATGATATTGGTCATGGCTGGAACTGATGATGTGTTACAGCAAAAAGTTGCATGCGAGTGTATAATTGCAGCTGCTTCCAAAAAAGATAAGGTCAAAGCAATAATTTCCCAAGGTGTCAACATACTAAAAAAATTGTATCAGTCTAAAGATGATGGAATTAGAGTTCGTGCCCTGGTTGGTTTATGTAAACTAGGGAGTAGTGGAGGAACAGATGCATCAATAAGGCCTTTTGCTGAGGGATCTACAGCGAAACTGGCTGAAGCTTGTCGTCGTTTCCTCATAAATCCATCTAAAGATCAAGATATGAGACGGTGGGCTGTTGAAGGTTTATCGTACTTAACTCTTGATGCAGATGTGAAAGAAAAACTGATAGAAGATCGGAAGGCAATTCAGTCAATGATGGAACTGGCTCGAAGTGGTAATCAATCTGCTGTGTATGGCGTTGTAACTACTTTAGTGAATTTAGCCAATGCATATGACAAACAAGAGGTAATTCCTGAAATGATTGAATTAGCAAAGTTTGCAAAACATCATATTCCTCAAGATCATGAATTGGATGATCCAGACTTTGTCAACAAACGTTTGGAAGTACTAGCTAAAGAAGGAGTTACTAGTGCGTTAGTAGCGTTGTCAAAAACAGAGAGTGCTAATAGCAAAGAGTTAATAAGTAGGGTGTTCAATGCCTTATGTTCACTGCAAGATCTTCGAGGGATCGTTGTGCAACAAGGTGGAGCAAAAGTACTTTTGAAAATGGCACTTGATGGAACAGATAAAGGTAAAAAGCAGGCTGCCCAGGCATTGGCTCGTATTGGTATAACAATTAATCCAGAAGTAGCGTTTCCTGGTCAAAGATGCTTGGAAGTAGTGCGTCCTCTACTGACACTTTTGCATTGTGAATGCTCAGGACTTGAAAATTTTGAAGCTCTCCTAGCCCTCTGCAATTTAGCAGGAATGAATGAAACTGTAAGAAAAAGAATAGTGAAGGAAGGAGGAGTTCCGAAAATTGAATCATACATGTATGAAGAACACGAAATGCTCCGTCGGGCAGCCACTCAAGTAATAACAAACTTGGCTATGTCAGAAGAAGTTGTTCAAATATATGAAGCTGGTAACGACCGTGCAAAATTCCTTGTTTTATTGTGTGGTGAAGAGGATGTAGACACAGTAAAAGCTGCTGCAGGTGCTCTAGCCATAATGACCTCTACAAGCAAGAAAATATGCAAGAAAGTTTTTGAAGCATCAACCTGGCATGATTCATTACGTATAATTCTTGCCAACGATGATAAGGATATTCAGCATCGTGGTGTTGCAGTTGTGTGCAATATGATGCAAAGTAGTAAAGAAGTTGCAGAACGGTTAGCTGACACAGACATTATAGAGATTCTGCTAGCTCTTACAATGGTCAGAGATGAAGAAGTGGATCGGACCAAAATACGTGAAATAGCAATGGAAGCTCTGAAAGCTGCAGAACAGTGGAAATTACTTAAAAAAGCAGAAAATGAAGATTCAGATGTTGAGTGAGCCTAAATTGTATCTATTGTTGTTATAATTTTTCTACATGTCATGTATTTTTATATTATAAAAATATTATGTAAATTCATTGCTGCTAATCATGCACCATAATGTTTTTGTAATAAAGGACGTTTGTGGTATAATAATGAATTATGATATTTAGAAATCCTGATCTTTCCTTATTCAATTGTACAATTTAAACAGAATACAAGTTTTCCAGTTGGTGAAAAGTATAAGGGAAAATCTTATTCTAATGGAGAAAAAAAAAATTGTAATTCTTATTCTACTAACAAAGTTTTGCAACACCTTCAGAAACAAAATGTTAATGTCTGATTCTGCACATAAGGAAGACTGTTTTGATGAAAATTACTTATCTGATTTGCAGTTAACAAAAATAGGTTATAGGTACTTTTATTTTGGGATAAGTGTTCCGTAACACTTTTTTACAGTAAAGAATTTTTTTTGCACTGTCCAGAGTACATTTTGGACCAAAATTAACTGTCATCAGAAGGACTGGAATTAAAAAAAAAAATCATTGAACATATAACCACTTTGAGTATGATTTCTCTTCCTTTGAAGCTACTCTGCTAGCAATATTTGTGACTTAGTGATTTTGAAGGCTGGTATAAAAGAGTGTACATTTATCAATTGAAACTTTCACAAAAATGTCTTGTGTGTCTCTAAAAGTGTAATATATTTGATTATGATTACACGGGGGGAGAAAGAATTTTATGACACTAATGATAAAGCCACACACGTCTTGTTAGGCTTTTGTTTTAACATAGTATAAACATCATAAAGATTCGATTCATGTGACTTGGGAATAACATACTATTTCATTAAGGAATCATAATTTGAAGTAGTCCATTACATATTTATTAATAAACCCTTAATTTTTCAGCACAATTTATTAGAAGCCAGGAAAAAAGATTTGATCTAGTCTGTGTCTATTTCAAAATGTTTTTGTTTTCTTCGATGCAATATTTTTTATTTATGGGAAGATTATTTTGTTTTTATATTAATTTTTGTGATTTATAAACTACTAGATATTTTTCTTAATACAAGTTTTGTAAAATTATTTATAAGCAATTTCCCAAGAAAGACAAGTCTAATTTGTTTTTATTTTAATAGTTTTTCTAAGGAAAACATTTTTTAAATAATTTTTTGTTGTTACATAATTGTTTGAGGGTATCACCAAAAAATTAGCCTACCAATACAACGGACAATAGTTGACCAAAATAAAGCACAATACATTATTAATTTTAGTATTTAGTAGCTGGTTCAATTTGTAAAATTCTTAATGTAGGCCTACTAAATTCTAACCAAAATCTAATACTCTACTAATTTCATATGATTTTTCTATTTTAAATAGAAAGTATTTCGTTAGTTACTCATTAGATTTCTAGACTAACAATGCCTACCCAGAGAGAATGTATTTTCAATAAACAATTTACTACATTGTTTTTTAAGTATATATTGAAAGTTAGATGATCACTTCAAAAAAGTTAATTTTGGATTCAATTTTTTCAATATCTCCTTCATTGTTTCTTTTTATCGGATAGCAGTGTAATTTGCAAAAGAGACTTCTTGTATTGTTCATTGCTCTGGAAAGGTCATTAACATATAAAAGCAACCAAAAGAATGTTAATGTATGGAAGAAGAAAACAACACTCCATCAACACATTAAAAATTTAAAAGAAAGTTGAAAAAATATCAATAAAAGTATCCCTGAAAATCAAGTAGATAAGAGGTTTGAGTTTAAACTCTAAAGCAAGTTAGACATATGTAAGTAAAATGAAGGCAAAAAAGAAATAACTTTAGTTAACAATTACTCGATTGTCCAAAAAAATTGTGCATCTGATCTTTTTAACATTTTAAATCATGTTAGAAACCAGATTGCTAAGAGAGTTAATGTTAAGTTTAGATGTTTTGTTAGTTTCAGATAGAAATTGTCTTTTGAACATAAGAATTATTCTGTATCAAACAAAAATTTCTTTATGAAATTAGAGTACTAATTACTTGATGAAACTGATACACTGGAAACTAATCTAGTCTCACCACAATTAATTTAGCTTCCTGAAAGTATGTTTGTCACACTATCCCATTTTAATTTATTGCAAGTTTTTAAATCATTTAAGAATAAATTTTTATGAGTAACATTGTGTATAAATTACATTTAATTTTAAATATTTTTCAAAATCCAAATGGCAAACACCTTCCAACAGTGGTGGATCCAGGGAGAGCACACATTTTCTCTAAAGGTTAAGGTTTTAAGTACATTAATTAACATATGTGTATTATGTGAAGGCATTCAAATCATATGGTTTATTTATTACCAGGTACAGATTCGAATACAAGTACATTTGTAAATCATACAACGAAAAAATCTACGAGCAACATCTTTGACTTAGTATTTGATACAGAGATTCTTTCTATATTGTCACCGTTTCATGTTCCTAATTTATATCCCTAACATTGAAACTTCAATACTTGGGGGCAGGACTCTCTATTTTTGAGTAGTCCCTCACGGGCGAGTAAAACTGAAACAAAAAGAAATTATATCACAATAATAATATTTAACCTACCTCCACCTCATTTCCACGGGCTTACCTTATACTGTTTGTTGGAATATTCATTCCATGGTTCAGGATTCGAACTTTTGTTCCAAGACACGTCAGGATTACGAGTGGCCAATCTCAAGGTGTAAAAAACTGCGCCAATACAACCCGTTCCAACGCAAACATACAATGGAATCAGCTGTAATAAAAAATAATATAATAGAGCATTCAGTAAGAAGTATTCACAGCGAAGACTGCTTCATTACTTAATCATTTTCTTGAACACATACCGCTGGATGCCTCTTAAGACTTGAAAAGCTCATGCCCTGCATGATTGAAAGTGATTGCTCTTTACTTGTGGGCACACGAAAATCTGTCTTGGATAACCCAAGATATTAACGGAGCGATAAAATCAATTCAAGCCACACAACCACGCAATAAAAGAATGGTGGATACGGACACACAGGTCGACAGGGGCGACAGCGAGAGAAGTGGGGAGAATGTACTGAGAAGTCATATTTTTGTGTTCACTTTTTACAAGCAAATGATGATAATCATTCAAATAATTATTACATAAATGTAAAATTGGTTATTAATGAAAATGTACACTTCAAATACATTGGAAACGAAAATTTAATTAATATTTCAGAAGGAATTCTGTCGTATATTGTACATCCGGTACGCCCATTACGGTACGATTTTCAATTGTCCATCCTGTTGCTTTCTGTCATTTATAAACCTATATACGGCTGAATACTTCGACATAAGTGTTGGTATTGCAATAATGCAAAATAAATTTATCAGGGCGCATCTCAATACAAAATTGTCTAGTTACTTTGTTTTCGCGAGACGTGAAACAGAAGATTGTAATTTATGACAACATATACAGAACGAGTTTTAGGCAGTGACAACCTGAAATGTTAATTGTGTGTTAGTCTGTTACCAATTAGTGTTCTTAATGAATGCATGTATGAAGTTTCCGTCGCGAACAACGAGTGTCAAGATCTTCCGATATTTAGATTTTTGGTAACGAGGCATATATGAATTGTAAATTTTTTTGAGTAATTGTTTTGGTAGAAACAATAACACCCAACATGAATCTGCCATTACAGACAGATGTTGTACTAAACAAGGAATATTCAGTGTCACCAACGAGATATGTGTGGAATCCAAATTGTAAGAGATTCACTTGAAAGTTTTCTATAATTTTTATAAATTTGAAGCTGAGCTTGCTTTTATTTTGATTTTGTAGTGTATCGTCTTCAACAGGAAGCACCACGCCCAAAGCCTGTGGTTTGCACCAAGCCTGTTCCCTCATGTCCTTCTTTTTATGGATCAGAGTTTCATGGAATTTTATCTCATACTCATGCAGCAAATGTAGTGACAGAAGAGGGAGCATACATTGTACGTCAGAGTTGTGGAAGTCATGATTTTTATACTCTTACATTCAGGTACAAAATTAATTGAATATCTTGCAGCATGCTCAACGCGCAATGATTATTTCATATTTTATTATGTTTTGTTTCTTGCAGATTTAATGATAAACTTAAGCACTATAAATTATTTTATGATGGACAACATTATGTCAAAGATACAGGAAAGAGATTTGACACAGTGTATGAATTGGTGGCTGATGGGCTTGTCACCTTGTATTTTGATGAACATGCAGCTCCATTTCTTGAAATCATGGAAAGATTTGATTGCTATGAGAAAAGCCCATATATGACCTTAAACAAATTAAAATTAAAGCGTGCTATCAGTAGACAAAATTCTCGGAAATACGATGTTCAAGCAGCAAGTGCTGCATTTGTTTGTAGTGAACGTGACCACACAGATCGTACTGAACCTCCAGAAGAAGAAATTGTAGAGTATGATAAACCACATGCTTTTAAGATTCATACTTTTAAAGGACTTAACTGGTGTGAATTCTGTGGCAATTTTTTATGGGGTTTTACTGCTCAGGGTGTTAAGTGTGATGGTAAGTGTGTTGGAAAAAATATTCTAGGTAGTCAGAATGAGGACTCTAATGAAGAAATACTGTTTTTCCATGTTTTAGATTGTGGATTTAGTGCTCATACAAAATGTTCTGAAAAAGTGCCCCGAGATTGTTGCCCAGATTTGAAACACATTCGTGGTGTATTTGGTATTGATCTTACCACTCTTGTTCGGGCTCATAGAACTTGTCGGCCATTTGTGGTTGACAAATGTATAGCAGAAATTGAACATCGTGGTGTAGATGCTGAAGGTCTTTACAGAGTGTCTGGTTTTGCAGAGGAGATCGAATCTTTGAAGATGGCCTTGGATCGAGGTTTTAGTTTACAGAAGATTTTTAATAATATTTAAAATGAGCATTATTAATGTGTTAAGAATTGTGATTGGAAGCATTGTGAAAGTGATTGAATTATGTTTCTGCAGATGGGGAAAATGCAGATTTGAGTCCAGAAGCATATGAAAATATCAATGTAATAGCAGGTACATTAAAGTTGTATCTCCGTTTATTGCCCATTCCGTTGATAACATTTGAAACTCATCCTGCATTAATTGCTGCCACACGTAAGTTCATAAAATACATTCTGTAAGTTCAAAACTTACTAGAGGTATAAGTACAATTTCATAATAATTTGGTAATAAACAAAAAAAAATAAATTTTTTTTCTTCTTTCTTTTGTATTTAGAAATTAACACATGTTTTTGTACTAGTTTTTTCTCAAAGTAAACTTTCTCAGTTTGTATGCAGCGGACCAAACTTTCAAATCATTTCTGAAATGTTGCATGCCATTGTTTTGGAAATTGCCAAAGCAGCTGTTGGTAGGCAGAATGTGTTCTGCAGTTTGTTGCAACCTCTGATGGCTCTTTTGCTTTTGAAATAAAGTTACTCAGTCAGGTGAATTATGTTTAGGTCAGATTGCGAAACTTAGAAATAGTGAATGCTCTCGACTGTCTGGGTGACACTCCATCGAAAGCTGTAATGTTGATGTTTCGACCATCATGTTATCTTCTTTACCGGCAGAATGGACTAGAAAAATGCTGTGTGAGTAAGCTCATAGCTCATGATGATGAAGCAGACCACAAAATCATTTCTTTCATTTTTCTTTTGAAAGTTCATGAATACTTTAAGATCAAAGCAGTGCAGTGCCACTTGTTTTTGTTCCTCCATTCCAGCAAGTAATTGGCAAAACCCCAAGAAGTAATTTTCTTTGTAGTGTGATGCAGTCATTTCCCTTTTGTTAGTAAATTCTAATCAGGAAGTCTGATGATCTTGATTGTTTATTGTCAGGATCAAATTGTTGTGTCCATGATTTTGTCTCAAGTTACATCAAACATTTGTCTTTCATGTTATTTTTGAAATCTTAGCATCAGTTCACATGACTTGCTTTTCGTTTGGATCAGAAGATTTGGGATCCTTTGATTACTATCCTTCCTAATTCACAACTCATTTAGCAAAATTTATGCCATTTCAGAGAATCAATACCTAAGGCCTGCTCAATCTGCTAAGTGCAATATTGAACATCCTATGTCATTCACATGGCGAAGATGTTTCTTCCATCTTAGTTGTTGGTAGACTAGAAGGCTGTCTTAAAATTTGAAATTCCATCAATATCCACCATGTCTCTGATGATAAATTTAAAAAATGATCAGATGAATAAGAAAGAAGGAACTGAGCGGACGAGGAATTCTTTAGCACTCACCTCAACTTTAAAGTAATTGAAGATCATGGCATGAAAATGCTCTGAACTTAGCTCCATGCTGAAAACAAATTCACTACTGAAAAGAACTTTCACTTTATTCAATTATTATTATTATTATTATTATTATTATTATTATTATTATTATTATTATTATTGTTGGTGGTGGTGTTGGTGTTGGTGTTGGTGTTGTGGTTATTGTTATTATTATCTAAGTATTAATTAAGTACTGTCAATTATACATACTAATAATAGATTTTTTTACATTGATTAATTTTTTTGTAGTAACTATAATTTTACTATGATGTTTTTATATTGACAGAAATATTCGATATATTTTCTCATATGAAATCCTAAGGGATTACTTTTTTATTATTTTCATTCTCATGTTAATGGGTTTTCTTTTATTGCAATAACCTTGAAGAAAACTGGTGTTATATACTGATTATGAATTAATTATGATTTTTTAAAAGTATGTTTAAAAAAATAATTTTACATTAAACACATAAAATATCATAAATCTTTCATTAATTTTTAATGAAATTGATAGAAAAGATATATACCATAAAGATAAAAAGTAATTTTGCTGTTAATATTCTATTATCTTTTAGAGCACCGGGCACTGCATGAACAAATTGCTGGTATTAAGGATGCTTTAACATTACTACCAACAGCTCATTTCAACACTTTGAAGTTTCTAATGGAACATTTATTCAGGTATCTAGTCAATACTAGCTTTATTTTATGGATATAATATAATCTATGACAATTGCAATATCAATTTCCCTTAAAAATTCTGAAAATTTCTTTAAATTTTGTCATATTATTTAATGGTAAATGATTTTGGATATTTTTAACTGTTTTTATAATGTTCAATGATATATTGAAGGAAATTGCTGCAAATATTTAATTTAATGTTTTTATATAACAAGGAATGTATTGAGAAAATAATGTTAAAACAGGAGTTATGGAAATTGGGTATTGAAAAATAATTTAGTAGACTTAAGGTTTCTTTCATTTTTCAAGCAGTAATATTCCTTTTTGTTTGTTTGTTTTAATAAGACATTTTGTAACACTTGCTCTGGCAATCCTAATACACTATTACCCCTCCCCCAACCCCCTCTGACGTAATCACTTTCCTATCTCAATCCTTGTACTTAATTCTTATTTCAGTACATTTTTGTATCCAATTACTAATCTTAGTGTATACAGTGTAACATTCAAAACTCAATGAAAATTGAAGACCAATGTACAAATATTTTTTAAGTTTTTCCGTAAATGTTTTGTGGGTTTCAGAGTGATGGAACAGCATAATGTTAATAAAATGACCGCTCATAATTTGAGCACAGTGTTTGCTCCAACTTTAATGCCTGCACCTGATATTTCCAAGTGTGGAGGATTACCAGGGATGACATATGAAATATCTGCTCTAGAGCTGATGATTTGCCATCAGCAAGCTATTTTCAGTTGATCTACTTTATGGTGCTAATTGTAAAGATAACAGTTTGCATTTTTTCACTGGTTGAAAGAAAACAACTACAACTTCTTCCAAGCAGTCACAACTTCATTTTATTGAATTTACAATAAAACAAACTGTTTAAACAAAATAATTTAGTTTAATGAAATGGAACCTCAATCTCTTGAAATTGGTGAGAGGAAAAAAACAATAAAATAACTCTGTTTCAAATTATTGAATGTTTTAAGACCCAGGTGTCAAACTTTCAAGATCTCAAGGGCCAAAACTAAAAACTTTAATGTGGTTGCGAGCCAAATTTTCATTACACAACAATTTGCATCTGACTTCCCATCATTGTTCTCGGCACTTGACCTGGCTACTGTATAAACGGGGGTGAGGGTGGAGCCATGTGTAATATCAGATAATACCATGCATAATGTAGTGAAACACTTTGGGACAATTTTGAAAATCTGAATTTAGTAGAAAAGAATCCTTAAATCTAAATGTAACTTATTTTACATTAAAGGAGGTTGATCCTGGCAGAGCAATTCGCGATGCGCATAATGTTCTCTCTCTATATTGATGAAAGGGACTTTCACTTTTGACTAATAACCTTTCATGGCCACAATAAATCGCACGTCGGGCCGCTAGTTGAACACAAGGATGGATACAGCCAATCATTTAGGAGGGGGGATGGCTTATAGATTTTTTAAAAATAATAAACATATTTGTTATGTATTGTATATTTGTGTATTATATTATTGTGTATATATGATGCTATACAATATTATTTTTTAAATAATTACATAATTCCAACATAAATATTTAAATTAATTTTGCCAAAAGGAGGTAACAAATGAAAACTGTAGGCCTTTGTAAGTGAGTGACATGCCCCTCCTTCCCTTAGATCCACCAGTGGTTGAACGACCGTTTTAAGATATCAATATGAATAATACAGAGGTTTTAGATTCAGAAAATTAACATGGTAATGATTCTTTTCTGCTATATACAGAAGTAAACCATGTTTGTATGTTCCTAGTGAAGTTTACTTTGGTTCCTATTTAACTTAACATTGTAATTAACAATGTACAGGAATGGTAAAGGAAAATTAAAAACATTCAAGATACTGAAGAATTCAAGTTATTGAGGTTTCACTGTAATAAGTTTTTTGATTAATTTTCAAAGCATTTTTAGATTTGTTGCTAATGATACAGGAAGTTTTGGTAGTGTTGAAAGCAATTAATTATATTGTTGAGGGGGCCGAACACGGTTTATTGAGCATTACCTCATTTCTTTGAAGTCACTGGGTTGGCAGATACAGTCATATTAAATTTATAAGTTGTACATGTATTATAGTTTTTAGGTGTGGCATTTACTTATCTGTTGAGAAAGGCTGAAATTTTAAAGATATGCCAAAGGAATTTTTTTTTCCATTTCTGTAAAATATGGTTATTTTTTGACATGAAGAATATTACTAATATTACATTATGATTATTTGAGTTTGAAAAAATCAAATAGTTGTAGGCTTGTTAATGAATCACATGTTTAGAGACTTAAATATTTGAGAAAATATTGCTTGTGAAGATATTAGTTCTAAGTATAATTTGAATATGTATGTGTAATATATTGCACATGTATATTAGTCTACATGAAAAGTACATATTCATAATATATCCAGTATCATGTGATATTACAACTTATAGAAATAAAGTATTTCTTAAATTTGTTTATGGATCATTAAATAAAAACTCACATTTTTAGCTTGCATTAGCTGGGTTTTGTTTGATTTTAAATGGAAAATTAAATCATGAATATTTTTATATTAAAATATTGTTTAATACAATTATATATTTTTGTAAGGGTATTATTGATATTGCCTCTCAGCAAGAATAATGACACAACTCAAAAATCCCATGTTTTAGAGTAGAGATAAATGAAAATGTCAGTTGTGTTACATTCCAAAAAATGGTTTAAATTTTAAAAAATCTCTTGTTTTTAATTTCTAAATCTCTTTTAATTAATGTAAAATTCATATTTTCTTAATTCAAAAATTATTTTTCCTAATTAAATACAATACATTTTCTTAAATTTAAACTGGTAGTCATATGATCATATTTACAATAAAAAATAGTGTACAATTCTTCGTACAATACATCCTGCAGTTACTTTCCATCATTTTTGTAACACAGATTTGCTAGGTAACTGTGTAAAATAGAGTATGGATAAACCTTGGTGTACAAACCTGAGGAGGAGTTCTATATGTGTGCAAAATCAGAAGCTGAAAGGAAAAAGGTTTTATATTCATAGGGAATAAGACCAACTATAACAATTTGAATACAATAGGATAGAGTTGTAACTCGCATTGGGAAATTTACTTCATGGACTTGTGAACATACCAAAAGGGAAGGGCGGAGGGGCAATTGCCTACTTTTAAACCTCATTCATAGTAAATATTCCATAAAGTGCACTTCACACTTTTATTTGAAATTCATTCTTCCAAGATAACTTCCATGTCAATATTTCTCGTGCTCTACCATGTATGCTCTACCTTGTGGTGTAAAGCAGTTGTTCACTACCTTGCTGGACTAAAAGCTGATATAGATTAATGGTGACAGGAGAATGACTTAGCAGATTATTCTTGGTGAGTATACTCAGACGACTTCAAATTCTACTTATTCTCTCTTGAACCCATAGACGAGAGCGGTTGTAAATTTTTATATACGAGAATGTGGTCCATAAAACTCCCTTAGGTCACGAATATGTGTGATAAAGAGGCGATTCGATATTCTCATTGCTAGTAGTCCCTGGTGCAAGTTGTTATACTGTAGAAACGTTCCTTCTCCTGCAAGACATGAAAGGTTATTTTAAGTAATAAATTAATGTGCAATTGGTATGTTTTCAAGTAGCTTGAAAATATTATATTCTCTTTTTACTAATTTTGTAATTGTTATCTTTGTTTCATTACAATGTACCGTATAATGCAATTCAAATCTTTCCTAATTGCCAGTTAAAGCTTTCAGTGTAGATTCTTTAGTTCTTTGTGCAATCTCCTTTCTTGTGATTTTTAGTATAAAACTGAAAATGTTAAATATCAGAGTAGTTCTCTTGTGCGATTTATCTTTTATTACAGAGTTCCAGTATTCTCAATTAAGTACAGGATAAAATTTTCTTAATAAGTATAAGTTACATTGCAATTGTTTCTTAACAAATGCCAATGGATATCACTTTCTGATTATAAAATCAATTTTAGATTTTTTTCACTATTCCTAGGCAAAAATCAGGTTTGAATATGGGTGAAACATTTTACAAGGGTCTGTGTATAATGACTGGTCCAAGGACCTCCACAAGGGTTAATCTCCCCTGGAAACTTACGGAAAGAAGAAAGAATGCAAAAATTATAAATGAAAGGTTCTTTTTTTTAGAAAATCCAAAGAAACTTGTGATAGATTGTAAGATATAATGAGATATGTAAGAATTGACTTCAATTGTGTTCAAAAAATACTTTTTGTTTGTATCTTGTTTGAAAAAAATGTTATAAAAAATAAGTTTTTGGTTAATGATTCCTTCATTTTAGAAAATAGAAGCTAATTTCTATCGATTTTTTTTTTGTTAATGATAATTTTCATTGTTAGAAAAAGTTAAATTTAATGCTGTCTTTTTTAATTACTTTTTAATTTTACAATTTAAATTTTTTATTATGTAATTATTGTATCAATAAATATTTTTTGCCATTTTAGTTGTATGAGAAAGTGTTCTTTTAGAGGGGTGGTTGCTTAATGTTGTTTTTTTATTTAAAACATGGTTTATTATTCCTAGACATCAGAAGTTTAGGAAAGAGCGTATTTTATTCTTATGAGACTTTTTTTGTTGTTGACGTAAGTGGCTTTTTAAACATTCTTACTAATTTTTTAAAAATGCATTTCAAAATATTCATTTCTTCTTTTACAACCATGATTTGCTTAAAGCAGTAATAAAATAACAGTGATGTGGAAGTGTATTATTAAAATATTACTTTTATTATTTTAAAACACAAACACAGCTCAGATATAGGAATATAAATTTTATTTACTTCAGAGAGGAACCATTAAAGATGCAGCACTTACCTGTGACAAGTCTTTTTATAGCACATGTGTATTATAACCAAAATCAGAGGGTGTGAGTGTTGTCTCAAACTACCAAACTGGTAGACACATTTTCCTCTCGAAAAAAAGTATTGGAAATGTACTTATGACACTTTTCTGGCTTGAAATTTGCAAAAAAAATTTTGAGTTGTGTCACTGTTGTTACTGGTTGGCAATATGGGATATTACAAAATATGGAAAGTAACCCATAAAATAATATTTGATAATTATTGAATTATTCTAATGAAAGAAAATATTTGAACCATCAAAACTGATTTTCTGGTTGTTTATTTCTTTTATTGCATTGTACATTTGTAATCTTGCTGCTGTGATTGTAGCTTCTCTATTCCTTCCAGTAAATTGCACTTTTATAACTCTTTGTTATGAAACAAACATCTATTTTCATAATTTTACAGCAGGAAAAAAAAAATACTTTAGACCTAAACACTAAACTTTATATTTTGTTTCATGAATATTTAAAATACCGTATTTTATCATCTGCGAGTTGAAATAAATTAAGCAGAATGAGGAAATGTAAATCATTATATATTAGACAATGTTTGATGTAATGGCAACACTTCGGTATTTAGAAAAGAAGGTTTTTCTATAAGATAAAATTTTTAACTCGAAAAAGAAGGTTCATTTTGCACATACCTTCTGAGCATGCAGTGATTTCCATTCACCATTTGAATATTTGGAATTTTGAGATCATAATTGGAATAATTAAGTTAAAATAGATTCTGTTTTATTTTTTACCAATGGAAACAACAAAAAATCATGAATTACTAATAATTTGCAAAATGTTACAAAAACATTAAATGCAAAAATTAATCATTAAATAAGGCTACCAAAGAAATAATTTAAGAAATTAGTAACCTATTCTGAATAGATCACATCTTCATTGTCAAACTTAACATATTTTATTATACTCTGTGAATGTTGTTGACATATACTGGTAGAACATATATTACATTTTATAGTGATTATTTGGGTTATATAGAAATATAAACAATAAGAAAAAGTAGTTGCACATAATTATTTTACTTACATGCCACTTACATCATATGGTGAATTCTGTTCACACATTGTAGACTTCAGAAAACACTGCAGACACAAGCAGATGTTAATAGAAAGATACTGTGTGTGATGTATTGTATTATGGCTTTTCCAGGAATGAGAGAGCAAAAGATCAGACTAGTGAATGCAGTTGAGTAATGAAATGAATGCAAATCTTTTATCCGGGCCCCCTTTAACAATCACAAGTAGTATTAGTACCGTAAATAATGAAAATATCCTTTCACAAATTCATATTTCTCAGTTATGATTACTATATAGACAATCACAAAACTTAAAGATCGCAATTCTTTCAATTGCAAAATCTTCAGCCTAGAAAAAGGCCCTCTTTAACCTGGGTCCGCCACTGAGTGAATGGAAGTTATCAGCTTGCTGCTCTTGGGTTAATGCATTCAATTAAATAATTTGCAAAGGGATTTGTGAGAACTGAATCAGAAGAATATATTTTAGAACTCTTCTATCTAGACTTCAGTGAAGTGGAATAAATGTAATAAGCAATAAGAGTAGTAACCCTGCTGATGTCAACCTGTGTAAACTTGATTTATGTCAGTTTATAATGAAAGAAACTAAATTGTTCACATTCAATCTAGAAGCAGAAGTTTTCTGGAAGTACTTTGTATTAAATATTAGTTGTGAAAAGTATGTAATATATAATTTTATTGTTAACAGCATAATAAAAGGATATAGCCTCGACTTTAAAGGTTTGTAAGTCACACATAATAAATCATACATGATCTTTTTACTAGAAATTTCAATTTGAAATACATGATGTGGGGTATTAAATACAAGATACAGTTTGTCAGTATCAAAGAAATTTAATGTGTGAAATTATACTTTTCTTTGTTAATTAAATATCTAATTATTCCAGTTAATCATATTCTAGAATTGACTGGTGTATCAAAAAGAACTGAATGTATTTAGAATTGATAGTTCTTTAGTCAATGTATAAGCTTTGAAGAGAAGTATAATTTTTTTTTAATAAGTCAGCAAGAAAATTGTTAATTTGCCAGTTTTATTTTTTCTTTTTCTTTCCAGTTTTCTAAATGGAAGAATGTAATGTGATTTTAATGTTAAGAGTGGAAGATTGAGTGGCCTTATTTTTTAATATCTAAATGTAAAAGAAATATGAAACCATTTCATGCTTGTAGATTGGAAATGTCAAGCTGCATATGTCTTATTGTAACTGTTAACGAGTCTAGTTGATATCATTTTATTGAAGAGTAACTTCCAAAATTACAAATTGTTATATGTGGTGATTGCCAGTTTGTGAGTGTGTTAAATAAATGATGTATTTTTTTAATGCAATGGAATATTGTGAATAATGAATGCAATGCAAATGACGAAACGGATGGGAATGGAACAGTTGTTCTCCAAAATTTGTCAGGAAGAGTCTAACTAATGAGAAAAAAATTGAAATGGCATTTTAAATATTTATACATTATGTCTACATTATTCAAGGAAAGAAATAAAATGGAAGTGATCTGAATAATTTTGAAAATGTTGGAATGAACGCTATGGAACGTTTGACCTGTTGGAATGAACAATATCGAATTTATGAATGATATGGAGCA